AAACTGTCAACTCCAAAATAAATGCTGCATTCCATCAAACTTTAAAGTTGGCCAACATGTATTCAGCTAGTCATGTATTCATTCCTGTCATGTATTCAGCTCGGCTAGAAAATTTAAAACAGAACAATGTAATGTAAGATTATTTTATTTGAATAAGTTGCTAAAAGTTTTCATCATAATGTACACAAATACATTCATGAAAATTTTATTACATTAATAGGTTTAGCCAGAGTAATTTTTAAATTAAATATTATTGATAATCTTATTAACAAAAAAAAGTGTAAATCCAGCTAAGCTTAAATATATAAGAAAGTGTAAGGATCTTTTTTAACACATAATAAAATTGGAGTAAACAAAAAAAATTTAAATGTAAATAGAAAAGTAATTATTATTTATAAAAATATTTAAATTTTTTTTCTCATTTACTTGAACACAGCAAACCAGAAAGTACCAAAAAAACTATAAATCATTTAGTAATACTAAAAATATAACTTTAATATAATTAACAAATCATACTAATTAGTATAATTAATAAATTATACTAATAATATAAATTTAGATTACACAAACATTAAATTGTCTTTCAGAGAGCAAAAAAAAAAAAAAATCACTGTATCAAGTTTATACACATATCAATCCTTACAATCAATATATTTTCTTTCTAAATATTGTTATCAAAATTGCTTCGCTTCATATTTTTTTTACTACAGTTCAGGAAAAGCATTAGTTATAGATTAATAAAAGTTTTTTGATAATGTTATTCTAAGTAACACAGGTAAGGTAGCAATAACAATAAAAAAAAATAAAAGTTTCTTAAAAATTATTATCACTGATGCTGAATTAGAAAGTTTTACTAGGTAGCTTTTCGTAGCAAGAAAACATGGAGTATAAAGTGTTGAGCATTGAATATGAAGTACCAAATATTTTTTTAATAAATTATTCAGTATATATCGATAAAGCATTAAGAATTTATCTTGGAAAATGCCAGTGACACAACAGCGATTCTGCATATCTAATCCATTTGTGATCCAATGAATGTTATGCAAATAATTTTTTTATTTTTTATATATAGTTATTGATATCAAAATTATGTAAATTAAACTGCTCTAGTTAACAATACTTTAATATTTTTTAAAAAGTTCAAGCTGTTAAGTACTTGGCATTATATTATTTTAAACAAAGAGCAAGGTACTCATCACCGCCCATCACTCAACCATGACCAAAAATCCTATTTCTAGGGCTTTACTTTTTAACGGCCATGGTTAAAATGCCATGTAATTTTGATACTGGTCAGATAAAGTGGACTCCGCTTGAGCTAGCTCGTTTGAATCTTCTGCATGATAACCAATGAGAGAACTTTCAGTTGTGGCAGAATTTATATGCAAAGTATACACGCCAGTTGTTTTATACATTGCCAGGATCTAACTCATTACCCTAGTTCTCTAATAAGCAGTGTGAAAGATAATTTAACCAGCTGTGCCACAAGAGCACCCTGGAGCAAGCTATTAATCCTTTTTAAAAATCAAATAAATTAAATTTCAATTTGAAATGCTAAAATTTTTAAAACGAATTTCACAGTCATAAATAATTATATATCCCATGTTATCTATTTTGAGTCATAAATTCAAAACTAAAATTTGAAATTATACACTGAAAGCTGTGATGTTAGAATAAAACATTTTTAAACATTACTTTTTCAAAAAAAATAATAACTAATTAAAAATTTATAAATCATTAGAAGATTGCCTTTTTCTCCCATGCTTACACCATATTTAAAATATAAATAAAGCATAATCTTATTTTTTTCTTCAGGTTTATATCAATTGTAAGTTTAGTAACAGTTTGAAATAATTATAATTAGATATCAATGTCAATTGTTTTCTAAAATAGCTAATGATTGAAAGTATACTTTTCATAATTATAATAAAAATTCGAAAACATTCTTCGTTGTTTTTTAAATTATTCAATCATTCTGTGAGAGAATTTCTGTGATAGCTCTCGAATGTAAACTAAGATAAACAAAAAAGCAAATTGGTATTTCAAATAAAAATGATTTCTTATTCATAGCAATCGCCACATTGAAAACCTCATACAAAATTATAATCAAACACTACAGAACAAATATAGGGCACTTTAAAAACATTCCTCTTAATATTATAATGATAAAACATAAATGATACAACTACAACAGAAATGTAAACATCATAACTAGGGTTAACTGATTCGCTTAAACATTTTTATATGATTTGTAGCAGTAATAAATCATCAATAATAATGGAAATTTATTAATAAGAAAGATGACATCGTTAACTAGGAATAAATATAAAAATAAGATATAAGCATAAGTTTTAAACTTACCAAATTCAAGTACATCACACGCGCAATATTACGTCTAAACGTAAACACGCCGCTACACTCGGTGGAGGGTATGAGTAGGGAGAGGGCGGGAAACGGAAGCAGGACTGAGTCATCTAAAAAGTTCTGTTCAGATGGCTTTTCCTTTGATGAAAAGGCTTGTTAATTTTCAGTAAATGAATTAAACTGTAAGCTTAAAGCATTTGTGAACGAAAACGGTTCATACAGCTTTAATGAGTAAAGATATAATATATGTACTTTGAAACGAAATTAATGAACACAAATTTTAAAAATTCGTTTAATTAAACTTGCTTTGTTAATGTGAATGCTACATGTAACTTTTACACCAATTCATGAAAAAATAAAACTAATAACTACTGTAAATATGCGATCTTTTTCTTAATCAGGTATATCAAATTAATACAAACTTTAAATTCGAATCTAGGAGAGTGAATTGGTTATACATTCAGCTTGGAAAAATTTCTAATAATTCAAATTTTAATAATGGAAGAGTTTTTGATTGATAAAAATTTTTCTAATTGGTGTATTGAATTCTTCAGATACCAGTTGGTGTTTGACAAAAGCAATAAAATAAAACATTTAAAATAGAAGTTAAACAAAACACTTTCTTTTCGATCTCAAATTATTATTTTGTATGTTTCATGAAAAAACGAAAAAAAAAAGGCAGAAAATCTTTAAAATGTATACTTTTAATTAGAGAATTATTGAAATTCTCACAGAATTAATTAGAAACTAAGATCTGATCATTATAGTATCACATATCACAAGACGAATTATAATATCTTCAGATTTCTGAGGATATTATATCTTCAGATTTCTGAGGATATTTTCTTAAGATATTCTTCAGATTTCTGAAGAATTTCTTAAGAAAATATCATTTTCTTAAGAAAATCTTAAGATTATTTTTAGTAGGGTGGTGTCAAAAATAATCTGTTGATATCAGTTCATATATTGATAAAGCAAGTAGAATACATAACTGATCAACATCATACAAGTACCCAACTGATGTCAACAGACATCAGTTGAAGTGTGAAATACAGACAAGTATATACCAATAGAGTACCTACTGATCAATATCCATTGATATCAGTACACTACTGATATCAGTTGAAATGTCAATAGGAACAAGTACAGATCAATAGAATACCCTACTGTTCAACATCTATTGATACCAATACACTACTGATATCAGTTGACATCAGTTGAGATGTCAATTGAAACAAGTACAGACCAATAGAAATCTATTGATATCAATAAATGTTTTTATTGATTTCTATTGATCATTTTTTGTAGGGGAAATGTAACGAAATGAAATAAATTCCTAAACATTATCCCAAATGTGATATAACTTGTAAAAATGCTCTTCGTTAAAAAAATCTTGACCCTTAATTTTAGAATCTAATAGATTT